CAGCGAAAATTCATCAGATCACAATGACTCTGTGACGAGCTACCGTTCGTCGTGTTGGATAGATATCGAGGGCTTTAATAGAGCCCTATAAAACACCCTCAGTCAAGACAACCAATTTAATTGGATTCAACGATCAGCTTGTGGCTCTAATTTACCATTGCGAAGGTAGCAGAAGATTCGAGGGATTAGTACCTACACTGCCCTGTGCGAGGGTATTTTTGTTAAGATGAGGGTTCCACTCAACATTTTGGTTTTAGTGTCTTACTGGCAGACATGTCATTTGCCGTGGACCACAGCAACGTAGGCAAAAGTTGACAGGAGTACTGAGGCTATGCGACCAATACGGCCAAACTGAAAAGATGTGATGGAATGAGGAGAGGAATGCCATTGACTGGTGGGGCGGCCTGATTGTGGGCTCTGCTCTGAGTATGCGAAGAAAAGTTGGGTTTCCAGTAATCTCTTAGTTTATAATAATTGAATTCACCTCCATTTGGGTGAGTAAGAGATTCTATAAGGCGACTGTAGATCCATCTGGGCTTTACATAAACCTTTTGTTTAACGTTGTCCTTAAGGCAATCTCCTTCGTAGCCTGTAAAAACGTGCTAACCTTACGTCCATCATATGACCAAAATCGTAAAAACATAGTATCATTCTTACAATCATGTTCAAGCTAACGAGTCAAGTAAACTCATTGTCTTGTCCCTAAAGGCTGTATATGTACCGTAAGTGATTTGTTTAGTATACGTGTTTCTGTTTGTGTGTTTGGGTGCCTTCATGTGTTTGCATATGTACGAAACCGATAGTTTGTGTAAGACAGGGAAAAATGTAAAATTGCAGAATGAATTAACTGTTTAAAAGGGACACTAGAAAATCTTCAGCTTACGGCCTTCTAGACATGCAAAAGCATGGAATACCTTTACGATTATCAATAATAAAGGAAGTATGATTCATAGTATTTGGCAATTATTGTGCAGTGAATTAAGTAAAATGGCTAAACATTGGAAATATTAAGTGAAGAATTCATATGAATTCATTAGGTTGGTAGATTGGTAAAGTGTTAGAGAGGAGGACTTTTTTTATGTTTAGAGCGGCTATTCAAAAGCTAGATCTCAACTTATATGAACGCCCAGATATCTTACAATCATACATAGGCTGAGTCAAGAAAATTCGTCGAACAAACAGGACACGCGGGCCAAAAGGAATCAACCGTCTAGAATCCCTTCATCACGCACACTTTCACCTGAAATGTAAGTAAACTCGCCAATTTATCCAGTTTTTCTGTCACTATTCCCCTCACAGATGAAGTCTGCATTTGCTATTTCTTCTCGCCCATTTGAACAGGCCAAAGTCGAGGACAACTGGACCCGCACTGTGCGGCTACCTTGGCTGGCCGGTACCAGTCTCTCGGCGCCCATGCTTCCCGCGCCGGCATTTTGTGCTCTTCCGCAAGTCTCAGAGCCAGCCACGTCGGATTCAAGTGAGACGGCCTCACAGTCGACCAAAGCAAGAACCTCTGGCGACACTCTGGCCCATCCGAGCTACACTTCTTGCCGCGACGCATCGTCTGCAAGTCCACCGAATCCGCCAGCCGTCTTGGGAGATCGTGGCTGCCAAACGAGACGGCCTCAAGCTTCATTGGGCTCGATGCAAAACACGCTGGAGGACACCTGCCATTCAATGCGTAGCCAGATAATCTCCAGATCCTTTTATGGATGTACGTTAGACTAGTCACTTCGAAG